TGGAAGCTGACCCGTGATGAGACCAACTATGGTGTCCCTCAGCGTGCCCTCAGAGGTCACTCTCACTTCGTGAGTGACGTTGTTGTCTCCTCCGATGGTCAGTTCGCGCTGTCTGGGTCCTGGGACGGCACCCTGCGTCTGTGGGACCTGACAACGTGAGTGTGGTCGAATAAGGTGGGGAGATGTTTGTGCCCCAGTGTTGTTAATGTCCAAAGAACTGACAGACACTGTGTCCAAAAGTTTGTAGACACCCGGTCATCCAAAGTCACTTCTGAATTTGAACGTATTAAGTGCAGTTATACTGTTCTGCAAGGGCTTTACACTAGATGTTGGAAAATTGCTGCATGGATTTGATTGCATTCAGCAATTAAGCCTTAGTGAGGTCAGGCACTGATGTTGGATGATTAGTTCTGGGTCACTCCAGCTCATTCCAGAGGTATTCGGATGGAGCTTCACTCCAAAGAATGCAAATGCACTGCTCCACAGCCCAGTGCTGGGAGAGCTTTATAACCTTCTAGTGGACAAAGGGATGTCTGGATATTTTTGGACATGTAGTGTAACTGTCTCCAAAGAGAAATCTTAAGGTTGTTTGTGCAGCTTTTACATTGAGTTGCAACTGGTTTTTTTGTTTGGTGCAGTTTCTCTTTAACAACTTTGACATTGTTTTTATAAAGGCTAACTGCATCTGGGTAGACACAGCAGTACTTTGGAAGCTTACTCTATACTCACTCAAGAGAGATGTACGAGATGCTACAGGATGCATTATTGTGTTTGCTGCTAGTCAAAAAAACATCTAAGTGTTGGTGAAAATGTCAAATGTTGTTCCCATTGGCATAGTTTCCCATTGTTGCAATGTCTGAGTAAATTTTGGTCTCTCTGCCCTTTGTTTTTCTAGTGGCACCACAACTCGCCGCTTTGTTGGACACACCAAAGATGTTTTGAGCGTAGCTTTCTCCGCTGACAACCGACAGATTGTTTCTGGATCTAGGGATAAGACCATAAAGCTGTGGAACACCCTTGGAATATGTAAATACACCATCCAGGTCAGGCTCTATGAATGGACTGTTTTAAGTTCCATCCATAAATGTGGGAATTTCTGGTTTTGAGACTTGTGCCTTCACTCCTGTAGGACGAGAGCCACTCGGAATGGGTATCTTGTGTACGTTTCTCCCCAAATAGCAGTAACCCCATCATTGTGTCCTGCGGCTGGGACAAGATGGTCAAGGTAGGATTCATTCTCTCAAACTAAATTCGAAGGTAGTTTCAAGTTGCTCTGCTAGAGCTATTTCACAGTGCTTTACCCAGTGATTAAAAACTTGACATGCTTTCTCTGAGCTCTTGCGCTCTGGTGACAAGTCCTGCAATTATGATGGGTAAAGATTTCAGACGAAAGATTCAAAATAAGATATCAGTGAAGATGTTATTGTCTCTGTGCTGTGCATGATGGGGAATAATGTAACATTGTCATGCGTATATGCCTTAGATTAGTCTGTCATCGTGAACCAAATATCTGATCTGTTAAACTCTTTGACAGGTGTGGAATCTTGCTAACTGCAAGCTGAAGACAAACCATATCGGTCACACTGGGTACCTGAACACGGTTACTGTGTCTCCTGATGGTTCCCTCTGTGCCTCTGGAGGAAAGGTATGACTTGGGCTCTGTTCTCAGTTTGTCATTAAGCATGTTTACCTGCACACAATGGACCGACTAAGATCTTAGTCAAAAAAACCTAGACCGAACACCTCTGTTACAAGGGCGGTATTGAAGTCGAATCCATAATCTGACTTTTATAATGTGAAAAGCCACCTTCATGACGTGCCTGAGTTTATTCATGTGAGTTTCCTTACATTAGAAAAAATCTTTTTAAGTCTTTTATGATGTGATTAAGTGTATTATTGCATGTGAATTTATGATTGTCTTTTCATTTCTGTAAAAGTGTGAGTGATTTGCATATATATTACATGATTTTGCTCGCTTGTGACTTAAGTGAGCTTTTTTTTAGTTACCATCAGAGCAAATCTGTTTACGCATCTCCACTTAAGGGATTCTCTCACAGTTGCAAGGTGTGGTGATGAAACATCAATGCCATCTGTGTCACTGTGATGATAAAGAGGCTGTTTCTGAACACTTAAATGTCTTTTGAGAGACTATTTGAAGTATGCTGTCCTGCTGTACATGTTCATTGTCATGTTTTAGGACGGACAGGCCATGCTGTGGGATCTGAACGAGGGAAAGCACCTGTACACCCTCGACAGTGGAGCCGCAATTAATGCCCTCTGCTTTAGCCCTAATCGCTATTGGTTGTGTGCTGCTACCGGCCCCAGCATCAAAATCTGGGTGAGCACCCCCTTCTCCTGACTATACTTTCTCCTCAAACATCTTAATTTGTCTGAGATTACGTGAAATCGAATCATTGTTGTAAATGATTTTTCAGAATTTTTCTTGGTTACTGAAGTTAACAGGTGCTTAACTGCTTTTCTGATTTCAGAAACATTTTTACATTAATTTTAGGTCATTTTCATATCAAAAATGTGTTAGTATTCAGTTCTAGCTTAATGAGGAAACTGTTGCTGTACATTTTTTATTCATTGCAAAAGAGTCGAATAAGTGTGCCAGGCTGCTACCGGGAGTATATTTGATTTATAGTAAATATCTTTTGCGTATCAATATGCAAACAACCCATTTTCAGTCAGGTACCTGCCATTATTATATAGAATTGAAGCACAGTCACATTGACAGCTTGCCTACTGAAATGGCGGTGGGTGTTTTTAATGATGTAACCAAGTAATGAAAATTTCATAGGCTAGCGAAACAACTACTTGTCAGAATGAGATTCAGTGATGAAACCTAAATGCCTTCTGCAGTCATGTGATGATAAAAGAGGCTGTTTCTGAGAGCTCAGTCTGATCCAATGGGATTTATTGGTTTTAAATCTGCGGAGGGAATACTAACTGCTCTGTTTCTACCGTGTCCTCAGGACCTTGAGGGTAAAATTATTGTTGATGAGCTGAGACAGGAGGTCATCAGCACCAACAGCAAGGCCGAGCCTCCTCAGTGCACAGCTCTGGCCTGGTCTGCTGATGGACAGGTAGGCTTTTTTTTTTAATTAAGAAATGGAAATGCGTATTTGGCTATTTCTAAAATTATGAAATTGTCTTACAAACCCCTATGATTATTAAATCACATGAACTCTGAAACTGTGATGACAGTCCTGCAATTATGAGGGGTTTCAGGAAAATCAGTGTTTTCTTTAAAATCTTTTACTTTTATCCTGTGACTCACTTTGTTTTTCTTCTTTTTACAGACTCTCTTTGCTGGCTACACTGACAACCTGATCAGAGTGTGGCAAGTTACCATTGGGACTAGATAGGCTTTTCTAATGTTTACAGTTGAATAAAAAAAATTCTTTGCCATTTGCTTGTTTCAGTGTTTTCCCCCAGTGGACATCATTATGAGTATAGGCAGTGTTTGGGATTCAGTTCATGTATATGGTGGTGTGTGGTTGTGTGTGTGTTTTTTTTTTTTTTTTTTAATTATTATTATTTTTATTTATTTATTTATTTAAAAAAAACACAATATTGTCCCAAAGCATCTTTGCTTCATCAGAAATGTAGGTCCAGTCCCCTTATAATGGCCTAATGCCTGTAGAATACCTGAACTGCCATTTGCATGTGAGATTTGACGCTTGTGTTCACCTATACATGTTTTCACATGAAATTCACTTTTTCATGAATCACTGCCTAAATGTGGATTTTTGCATACAGTTTTTCTGAGATCAAATTGTGCGTAGTGTTTCATAAATTAGGCTCAAAAGGGGGAGACCACCCTCCTTTGGGCCACACCTGAATACAGTTCAGGTGCAAGAAGGCCAAATTTACAAGGAAGATTAACCCTTTTGTGTACAACAACCACAATTTGGTATTATAAGGAAAAAGGCCAAGAATTTATGCTTTTCATTTTTGCTTTAATTATATGTAGCTTTAATACTTTATTGACCTTTTTTTTTTTGTTAAAAATCAGTAATCTCCCATCACTAAAAGGCTAGATTTAATATAAGCAAATAAGAAAAATGCACTTTTTAGCCCTGTAATTTAAGATATTTCTTCAGATTTGTTGTGCTCAGTGAACATACAGAGGACCAACACAAATGTAGTATTTTAAACATTAAGGTGTTAAACAGATTCAACTCAAATAAGTGAGTGACAAAAGTTATGAAGTTGTCTCATTTACTCGATGTTGAATGAGAATGTGCTGGATGAGTTGGCAAGTCAGGAACGTTATTACAAATCAAAAGTCCAAGATGAATGTGCTGTAGACTCGTCTCTGGAGCATCTGAGCGTTATTGTATTTATTTGTACTTATTTTTCTCATTAACTACAACATAAACTATGGTGACTATTGAGTATGAAGCTGGTAGAAGAATACATGGAGAATTAGAGGGGGGTGTCTGTGTATCAGCAATCCAACAATCAAAGATGTGAAAAACACAAATAAAGCATAACACGAAAATTACTAGTTGGATAAAATAATTCCAGAATCGTTTCAAATAGTCAGAACCCAGAACCACCTCTACTAAACTTGGAGAGAAAACGGTTCTATTAAAGAACCATGAACACTCAAGGAAACCTTTGCATGACTGAAGGGTTCTTTGCGTCATATAGGGATTCTTCAGATTGATATAGGATGTGCTGTGGATGATTCCATACAGAAGCTTTTCGAACGGGGTTCTGTATAGCACCCAAAAGGTTGTGACAATAGAAGAACCCTTTTCAAAAAGGTGCTGTATAGAACCATCTGTTGCACGTTCATGCCCATTCTCCGTCAATCTGTAGAACCCTTTCACGATGCAAATTACCCGTCAATCATGCAAAGGGTTCTTTGAGTGTTCATAGTTCTATACAAAACCATTTTCTTTAGTAAAGAACCCTTTGTGCTTATGAGGACTCCAATACAAAAAAAAACTACAGTCACGTGACCGGCACGTGTGGTTACTAGGCAACCCACATAGCAACAGTCCTCCCTTGTTTGGGATGTAGGTTCGCCGCTGGAGAAACTGTTAGAGCCGTTTAATGTTGGCTGTACACTTTATTAAGCGGGGTCTTTAAAAATGTGCTATTAACATTCTGCATAATGAAGCGGATTATGGCGTCTCCAGCGTGTTGATGTTCGTGTGGTAACCTGGCAACCCGCATAGCAACAAAGTCCTGTTCAGAGCGTAAATTAGCTTAGCTGTTAGCTCTTAGCTGCTGAAACTGCGGTGATACTCGGCCGTGTTTGATAATTGTGCAGTAAGTGTCGTCTAGAAAACGGTTAAGGTTTAACATTTTGGTTTTATTTAAATTGGATAATTTTACCGGATAGCTGTGTTTGCCAAGCAGGTTTTTAGTTTGCGTTAGTTTGGTGACGCTAACCCTGCTAGTTTAGACTAGGGGTGGGCGATATGACAAAATATCACGATACTTCAAAACGGTTTCACGGTACACGATATAGCTATATCTTTTCTCTAATCTACGATGGGGCAGTCAAAGTAGTGCCATATTTAAAAGGAATGCTATCAAAAGTTATTTGCTGATATGCAATCATCACTATAATTCAATTATTTTTACTCAACATTTCACTAAATCTTATTAAACAGGATTAAATGTGCCTTTTTTGTAATCAAACATGCAGTTGGAAAGTTGTTTAAATGTTAGTGATATGACAATCACTATTGTGATAAATTGCTTCGCAATATGCTTTTCTGAGCATATTGTGAAGCAATTTATCACAGTAATGATTGTCATATTGCCCAGCCCTACACACTTAAAAATGATGGTTCTTCAAGAGTTCTTTAGTAAAGAAAATGGTTCTATATAGAACATGAACACTCACATAACCCTTTACATGATTAAAGGGTTCTTCAGATTAATGGAGAAGCTTCTGTAGTTGGTTCTATACAGCACCAAAAAAGGTTCTTCTGTTGTTACAACGTCAGGTTTATCACAATAGGAGAACCCTTATCGAAAAGGTGCTGTATAGATCCAACTACAGCACATTCTCCATCAATCTGAAGATGCAAAGAACCCTTTAATCATACAAAGGATTATTTGAGTGTTCATGGTTCTATATAGAACCATTTTCTTTACTAAAGACCCCTTGAGGAACCATCTTTTTTAAGTGTGTAGATAAAACAGTATTTTGAAATCTCAGTGTTTCCCCTGTTCTGTTGGAGGTGAATGAACTATGGAAGAGGAGCAGCTGAAGCACCGTTTGCCCCCATCGTGCCTCTTCTTGGAAAGAACTTTGGCTCTCATCAAGCCAGACGCTGTTGATAAGGCAGAGGAAATTGAGGACGTCATTCTACAGTCTGGCTTTACCATTTTGCAGGTAGCTGACCAAACCAACAAATTAAATTACCTATATCCTTTATACTTCTCAATTCCCCACTTCCCCACTTATGAATTATATCAGTCACAATTCAATTTCATATTACCATTTACTTCCTCTCTTTATACCTTAGAATTAAACAGGTTGTTTTTGTTACAATGCCTTTAAGACTGATATATGTGAATGATCTCTGTTCTGATAGGCTACCCTGTATTGCATCTCACTCTGAAAGCAGTCTAAAAGTATTTAGACACCCATTCTAATTACTGGAAGTCAGCTAAGGTGCACCCATAGCTGATACAGGTGTTCAATTGCATCCGCACAGCTTGTATAATCCAGTACCTTTGGGATGAGTTGGAGTGATCTAGAACTAATCATCTAACATCAGTACCTGACCTCACTAATGCTCTTGTGGCTGAATGCAATCAAATCCTCACAGCAATGTTCCTACATCAGTGTAAAACCTTCACCAGGAGGCTGTTACCGCAGCACCCTTGATTTAGGAATAAATGCTGGATGAGCAGCTGTCTACAAACTTTTGGACATATACTGTAACACACTGCAACATATGGTACAACTGAAACTTTTTTCTCCCAAACTGTAAAACCTGTTTTATTAATTACAAAAGGTACAACCTTGTTTGCAATTGTTTCAGACAGTTGCAACGTGGTGCAGGTAAGCGTGTCAATACAGGCTACGGTTATCCAACTGAGTTCATATTTTTAAGAGGTTGATTGGAATAATATCTAAGATCCAATTGAGCAGTGAACAGTTTAAATATTGCAGACTCTTTGAGACCCTAATTGCAATGCCAGAGCTCATTCTCCATTCTCCATCAAATGTATCTTTAGCCCAGGGGAATTCAACTGATTTTTTTTAAATCAATTTCTGTAAAAGTCAGTCATTAAGATGTTAAAAAAAAAAGCCATCAGAGTGTTATGATGTGAAATGTGCCACTGTAGTGAAATTTAACAAGTCAGAATTGTTTACAGTGGTGGTGATAGGAACTGGACGTCTGAAGCATTCAGTGTATATGAACGCTACCTCACAGAAAGTTATTACATGAAATAGTAATGAATGTGTTGCCCAATTCCTGAGACATTGTTTTACGATTTGCCATAAACTTTTGGCCTGAATCATACTTTTAAAATAAGTTGATGGTGGAAAGGTACATGCAAGGTGCTGTGAGTCAAAATAGTCCCTAAAGAAACCTTTTTTTCTGATTTACCACTGTTTTATCATCCTGTTTTATTATGTATAAAACTATATGTAGGTTCACTGGCTGTTTTAGATTCTAAAGAAAATGGCTATATTTGCGCTGTAGATATTGGGACCCCTGGTTCCTATCACCACCACTGTAAAGAAATCACAGATACATTTCTCTCTTTGATGCACCAGTTCATATCAGAACACTCCAAATGACTTTGTTTACATCTCAACATTTGAGTTTCACAGAAATGTTGAAAATTTGGTGGAATGCCCCTTTAAATTATGTGATTCCTCAGTTTGTTTTTTGTGTCTTATGCAACAGAAACGGAAGCTTCAGCTGAGTCCGGAGCAGTGCAGTGACTTCTATGCTGAGCAGTATGGAAAACTGTTTTTTCCGAGTCTGACAGCCTTCATGAGTTCTGGTCCAGTCGTCGCCCTCGCATTGGCCAGGCATCAGGCCATATCCACCTGGAAAGCCTTGATGGGACCAGCTAACAGTACCAAGGCCAAAGAGACGCATCCTGACAGGTAACTAAAATATTTTTTTTTTACCTGTGGGTAGTTATTTTTCTATTTGTGTGTAATAGAAGGCTTAATTCATGTTCATAATTTTACATTTAGATTTGTGTTTTTATACATCAGGTTATCGAAAAGCAGTATGCAAACACACTCTTTATTACTATTAACATACCTTTCCACAGCGAATGAAATTATTCACCTGCTTTAAAGATGCGTGCTCTTTTGTATGTTTAGGTGCTCAGGAGAGAAAAATCTATGATAGCAAACGAAACAGCTTAACCACAACAATATTAGTGGTTAGAATACAAAAAGGTACAAAAACTACAAGATATCCGGTTATGGTGGAGGCATATCCCCTAAGAATGAATGCATTTCACTTGTGGGCTACCACTGGAATAGAATAAACATTATTTCTTCGGATATTATTTTGCTTTACAAGACCCTGCATGTTCCTTTCTGTCATGAATGACCTTTTTTAGGCCAAAATCTTACTGCAGAATTGTGCGTCAGGCAGCGTATTGGTATCATATATCATTGAATGTAATAACTATCTGTGAGGGAGCTTTTAGAGCAATCAAACTCTTCAGACGTTGGTTCCTATCACCACCACTGTAAACAATTCTGACTTCACATTAAACCACTTTAAATTAACTTGTTTACATTTTTAACAATTTAAGTATGCATTTTTTTTTTTAAATTGAGTGGAATTCCCCTTTAAAGTCATGTTTCAAGTCAAGTCAATGACATTTTCATTTTTGCATCTTACATACTACATCCTAACTCCTTTATTTTAAAAAACTGAGGGAAATCAGTTTTCTGTGATATGGGCTCTTTAAACAAATGACACTATGACAATTGGAACCAAGACCCGGCTTGGATACAACAGTGATTAATCAAATTCTGGCAACTTGGTCTTATAAAGTGCCGATGTATAGAGGTGGAAATAACGTCTTCCAAAAGGTCAAGCACAGACTGGAATAAAAGCAGTTCTCACACAACGACCCAAAGATATGCAAAAATTACAAACTACAAGTAGAACAATAGACCCGACTCCATGGACGGCCATTAGTTAGCCAAGGGTCATAACAGATTCTAAAGCAGATTTGTAAGGCTGAAGCCAGGACCCCCTCCCTGTCATCGTTCTCACCTCATTCGCATTAACCAGCCATCTTTACATTCACACAGACACTAACAGTCTGTGAACAACAGTTCAACAGTCTATTCAAATAACAGATCAGAAAAGCACCCGGCCCACAGTTTCTCCTGCCCCTCTATCAGCTCATGAAATAATGTTAAAAGGTATTGAACACTTTGGACATCTAGTTCCTGTCATTACCATCGTGCAAAATTCTGGCTTGGTATGTTTCTCTAGGATGGAACATTTCCCATCAAACTACACAAAATGTTTACATTTTACTGATTTAAGCATTTTTTAAGCAATTTTTTAACAAATCAATGGATTCCGACTTTATGATGGGTCTCCACTATATTCCTTACTGAACTCCCCAGCATCCTACATCAGGAAAGAGTTTGTTGATTGTGCATCTGAATTTAATGAAATAATTACACCATTGCCATAAACTAGTTGGTTGTGTCGGACATCATTTGTTGGTAGATCACCATCAGGAAGCAGCTTAAAGGGGAATTCTGCCCATTTATGGAAAAGATGTATACAGAGTCATTCAGGGTGGTTTGTTGCGAAATGCTCCATTTTCCAGATAATTAACAAGTCAGAATTGTTCACAGTGGTGGCGATAGGAACCAGACATCTGAAGAGTTTAATGCTTCCAAAAGTTCCCTCACAGCAAGTTTTTACATGAAATGGTTGTGAATTGTATAATTGAGCTCCTTAAAGCTCCCTGTATTATCTTTTATTTTGTTGTATAGCTATTACTATTTTTCTTTCTTCTCTTCCATATTATATTAACATACTTATTACTGTGTCTATGTAAGCAACTGACAAAATACTTGTGATATCTTACTTAGCCAATAAAACCTTTTCTCATTCTAAGCTATGCAAGATTACAAGTTTGCAAGAAAAAACAACTAAAATATAACACAAAAAGGATGCAATCCCAAACCAGTAAAACTTAAAATTAAATAGGTGACATTCTGTATTTTTGCCTGTTTCATCAGTCTTTAGACTGTCTTCTGTGAAAAGTGACTACACAGCAAGAATCATCTTTATTTCAAAATTGCCACTGTGTAACAACAAATCATTCATTCTGTATTTGATAATTCCCAGTCTAAGAGCAAAATACGGGACATCTGACTTGAGGAATGCAGTGCATGGCAGTGAAACATTCTCAGCAGCTGAAAGAGAGCTCAGATTCATGTTTCCCAACTGTAAGTAAAGCAGGCAGTGTAACACAATCAATTCATCTAGTGATATTTGCAGTGTTATTTTTTAACATATGGACTACATTTTTTTTTATTCCAGCCGTGATTGAACCTATTCCAATGGGTGAGGCTGCGAAAGATTACCTGAGCAGGTTTATTACCCCAACACTACTTCTCGGCCTTACTGAGCTGTGCAGGACAAAACCAGCCGACGCCTTGGTAAGTAACCATAAATGATACTCCTCAGAAATTAATGATATCTGTCAGGATTATAATGATGATCTATGTTTTGTTTTTTTTGCTTGCCTAATCTCTGTTCTTTTCATGCATTTTATCTAGATATGGCTGGCTGACTGGCTGATGTCAAATAACCCAAACAAACCTAAAGTAACTGTTGTTCAGGATGCTCCATGATCCAGAGGCAAGCTTGCATTACGTTGGGAAAAACTGGCCTTATGAGTTTTCCAGGAGTAATCCAAATCATTTTTGCATTGAGTGCTGACAAAAACGCTTGAAAAATATAAAATTAAAAATAAACTGTTTTTTGGGAAATCATTTGTCTCTGAAATTTAATTTATTGTGTTCATGAAATTAGTTAATCTGTATTGCATTCTGACTGTTTTAAATGACAAAAGTGTAAACCAGGAGTTGTGGTGGGCTGAGGGCCAAAAAGACAAGGCATCACACTATGTTTTGTATACTTAAAAGATATCATTTCAAAGGTAAAAGGAATTTCAAAAGAAAACGAGTAATTAATAATAAGTGAGATTTTATAGTTTTAAAAATGTTCTCTTGTTTGGTGAGGGGGTCTGGTTAGAGTAAGTTTCTGGTGAGCCAAATCAAATGTCCTCAAAGCCCAACTTTAGGCAGCTGTGGTCTAGGCACATCATCCCTGAAAATATGATAACATAAGTATTTTAGTATTTTATGCATGCACAAATAGTTTTTTTAAAAGTCAGTCACGTTTTACACTCCCAACATTTTGCAATGTTTGATTTCTTCAGTTCTTTCATTTAGAATATAGTTGTTTTTATTTTCTGCACTTTTAACCCTGAAAAACACAGCGATGTCCCAACCACGTGCTGCCCTTCCTAAAAGAAAACACGGCCGCACGGCCTCAGCAAATTATGATTTGCGTGTTATTGTTTATCATTCATATATGATACATTTGGCTGCGCATATAAATGTCAGAGATAAATATAATTTCATCATAATTAATGAAAGCAAGTCTAAACTTCCTGCTTGTAATTTCAGAAGAACCGCGTTTAGGGGGCGTTGCCGGCTGACGTAGCGGGGCCCTTTTCTCATTGGCCGTCGCCGTGATGAGCAGCTAATACCGACCAATCAAACGCTTCCACCACGCGGTCTATGGCCCAGTAATATAAAATAGACCGCAGGTGGCGCAGTGAGGACGATCTCACAGAGGGACTCCATTATAGGCTAACGCACGTAACGTTAGTTTCGGAACGGGACTACGCTTTTAAGGTACTGTATTTATCGCTAAATCGTGATTGATGTAGTTTTTTTAGTGTCCGTAGGAAGCATTTTCTCGGTAAATGTGGTTTAACGTCCTTAAACAGCGCTGTTGTGTTCGAGATTTGGGCTTACGTAAGTGAAAGCGAACGGCATGGCAGCGGCAGCTTCTTGTTCGCATTTTTCCGTTCCACCTTAAGCAGTGCTGCAGTTAATGCTGCACCATTTAAGGTGGAACGGGAAAATTCAAAAAAGAGCTGCGCGTTAAAAATAGATTTGTTCTGGTCTGTAAAGACGTTTTAACCCCCAGAAATCAGCAGTGGGTTATTTTTTGGCGGAAATTCTCGCATCATCGGGCTTTTGTGTTTTCTCCGTAGCTAACCTAGCTAGCTTAGCTTCTTGTGCTAAAGCTCAAACAAAATGGTGGCAGCCATTTCCTTACATAACGCTGCTTCGCCACATTTCCGACTGAATAAAATTGATGGATTTTTGTTTTTATTGATTTTCCACTGCTGTTATTTTTCTGTAGAGTCGTCATGTCTGATGCCGAGCAACAGTTTATGGAGACCTCAGAGAATGGCCATGAAGAAGAAGAAGGCCTGAACGGAGCCGAGGGTTACGAGGAGGCCCAATCCGGCCTGGACAAAGACGGAGATCAAAATGGAGCCAACGAGGGAAGCCAGATTGAAGCGAGTAAAGGCGAGGAAGATGCTGGGTACGTGAAAAAAGGCAGTAAAAACCTCGGATGAATTGGCTGAGGTGGCCTTTGTCCTCCTCGTCTTTGTTGGCGCCATGTGCCGGGTGAAGGGGGATGGGCGCTTTGGAAACGAGGCCTCTCCCCGTTTAGCGGTCGGCAATATTGGTCAAATGTAATAACATGATATTTTTCCTAATATATCGCGGTGAGACGATATAAGAGAATTTTAATTTGCACTGATGAGATTAAACTCCTGCTTGTTGAGTTCTGCTACTCTATACACACTCAAAGATGGTTATTTAAAGGTGCTTCATTAAAGGCAACGGTTCTTTTTGGAGTCGTGATTTCTATATAGCTACGTTAGTATGCTTAAATGGTTCTTTGCATGGTGAAATAGTACTTCAGAATGATGGAGAATGTGTTGTAAATGGTTATGTAGAACCTTTTTAAACATTGTTCCATATAGCATGTAAATTGTTCTATTATAACAAGCTGGACCTCATAACAGTAGAAGAACCTTTGTTTGATGCCGTATGGAGCCGTTTCAGAAAGGTTCTTTAAGGAATCATACACTACATGTTCTCCGTCAATCTGAAGAACCATTTTGCCATGCAGAGAACTTCTTAATCATTCAAATGGTTCTATACAAAACTCATGGTTTTAAATAAAGCCATTGCCTTTACTAAAGAACCCTTGAAGAAACATCTTTGTGTGTAGTGGTGGGTCATATTGATAAAATCATAGTATCTTTTTTCGGTATTGTGTTGTCATTTTATCAGATGATTTTCGTATTGATAAGGTTAAACTGATGCTTCTTGGTTTCTGCTTTTCTATACTCTTGTCTTAACCTACAAACCTTGCCTAATATAATGACTGCTCTGTTTTGTTCTCTATTTCCTTGTATTAAAATTAGATCTAAGCAAACCACATACATTGGTGTTATACAAGTAGGGACAAAGTGTAAAGAATTGAAAAGGAAAAAAAAGCTACCATTTGGCACAATATTGTTATTTTGTGTGCGCATTATATTATGGATGTAACTAATCTATGAAATCACAAACTGGTAAGAACATTTGCAATGTTCTGGTTCAGGATATTGTCCAACACGCGTTTCATTTTCTGATTGAGTCTAATGTACTTGCAAACAAAGCGTCCGTTGTTAAATGTATGTCACAGGCTACAATGCCCCCTTTACTGTTATTTTATTTTGAAGTACGCATACTTTATTCCTCTAGGAAAATGTTTGTTGGGGGCCTCAGCTGGGATACTAGTAAAAAGGATCTCAAAGATTACTTCTCTAAATTTGGTGAGGTGACAGACTGCACCATTAAAATGGACCCAAACACTGGACGGTCAAGAGGATTTGGGTTCATTCTGTTCAAAGATTCAGCAAGTGTAGACAAAGTAAGTTCTGGCCAACTGTTAACGCACTCCACTCCTCTTTGATTCATGTTGATACTCATCACTAAACATCATATTTCTCTTCCTGCTGTAGGTATTGGCTCAGAAGGAGCACAGGCTTGATGGGAGACAGATTGACCCAAAGAAAGCCATGGCGATGAAGAAGGAGCCAGTCAAGAAGATATTTGTTGGTGGTCTGAATCCTGAAACATCAGAAGAGAAGATTCGCGAGTATTTTGGGGCCTTTGGAGAGGTATGATCTAGAACTGGCATGGTGTAATGGGCTAGTTTGCTAATTTGTGGAAAATGATAGTTTTACTTTTTCTGATGTTTAATTTGCTCTCTGTTGTTGCAGATTGAGACGATTGAGCTTCCAATGGACCCAAAGACAAACAAAAGGCGAGGGTTTGTCTTCATCAGCTTTAAGGAGGAAGAAACGGTCAAAAAGATCCTTGAGAAGAAATACCATAATGTCAGTGGAACCAAGGACTCAAATGGAAAAGAGAGCCTTGTAAGTGTTCTCAATTTTTTGCGTAATCTGTTAAATGGCATTCTGGGTTTTGGGTAAATCTTGATTTAGGCGCTGTTGAATTTTGATGTTGCCAAACAGATGGTCTGTCTAGTGGCTCTGTGTTAACAGCATATAACAATAAAAACTGCATAGTGGGACATTTACAAAGCAGAACTTCCATACCAAAATGACCATTTTTCATATATAAAACTTATTTTATTGGATACTCATGAATTTGTCATGAAATAACTTGTATTCAGTTGTTGTGATTTTTGTCTTTTGTCCTCTCAGTGTGAGATCAAGATTGCCCAGCCTAAGGAGGTGTATCAGCAGCAGCAGTATGGTGGTCGCTTTGGAGGCAGAGGCAGGGGACGTGGCGGTAAGTGTTCAGAAACAAGCCAGTGGTGCTCCTGTAAACGAGCCATTCTATGATTATATTGTGTACATCAGTCTTTCTGTACAAGAGAGCCCCCTTTCAACAGTACCCCAAGTTAAGTTTGGACAACATAGTATAAGCTTTTGATACAGCCAGAATACAGCCTGGAAGATTAGTTTGTACTGTTTGGATACAGTTTCGCCTGTGACCCAAATTCTAAGCTGGTGTGGGCTGTCTGTGTATAATGTGCGCATATATATTTAAGCGCATAAGAGGAACCATTATTTTAACCCTTTTAACAGTTTTGCTATTAAGTTAAGATCTTAACCTAGCTGAAGCCTAATCACCGCTTCTAACACTTGCAGGCCAGGGTCCTAACTGGAACCAGGGCCACAACAACTACTGGAATCAAGGCTATGGAAACCAAGGCTATGGCTATGGTGGGCAACAAGGCTATGGTGGATACGGAGGCTATGGAAACTACGACTATTCATCAGGCTATTATGGCTATGGCGGTGGCTATGACTACAGTAAGATCTTTTCTCCAAATTAAGTCTTGTATTTTTGGGCTTGTAAAAATAAGATTTATTAAATTGTTTTCTATGCTCTTCTCTCCACCCCAGACCAGGGCAACACAAGCTATGGGAAAACTCCAAGACGTGGTGGCCATCAGGGCTACAAACCATACTGATCATGTGTAGTGCAGGTATGCACTGTAATTTCTTTTTCCCTGTTTATGGCCCTAGAACCTGAACATGTTTTGAAAGCGTCAGTTGGAATTCATTTCCGTTCATTTGGTCAGTGCTGAGGGGGAATTACGTTTAATTGGGGTGGGAAGGTGTAGCCTGGGAACTGAAGAGAGAAACGCAATAGTAAACACTAAAAATATAAAGTGGTGATGTCATGAATCTAGACATGCCTATTTACCACACTGTTTCTGTTGGAATATATTACTATTTAGCAAGTAAAACATCTTACTCTTTCTCTTTTTGAAGGTCGCAAGACTTCCAAACCAGTGAACTGGTCCCGGTGAACACAGGGGTTCAGTCTTTTACTTTTGGATGTTGGCAGAATCTGGCCTTCTGCTCCATTTTGTACAGACAACAAAATAAGGAACTGGGGGAAGCAAATGTCACTTTTCACGTTTTATTTTATACCTTTTTCGTTTTGTCCATTTTTACATTTCCAGAGACGGAAGTGTTATTTTTTACTGTACTTTTTGGTACCTTTTTGAATCTAATGTATTGTATGGTTGTATTTTACATCTTGGCTGTATTTACCACACCTAGCCTCAGAGCTCTCAAACCTTTTTCATAATAAATGATTTTGTTTAATTTTTTGGTGTTTCTGTACCTAGTTATTTTTTCCGTTTCCTCCTGTGCTCTGTGTTGCAAAGTTGCATGGCTCAAAGTTTGAGGTGAGCTGAAAAGGGATTATGAAAGATTGTGTGTGTGTAATTTGCAGACAACAAGTTCCTTAAGTGACCAGTTTTTGTTTTTTTTTTTTTTCCTTTTTTTTCCTCCCCACCTCTGCTACATTTCTGTTTTTGCTTTTAAGGAGATTTCTTCCCATCTTATTGGTTAAATTAAAAAGTGGCTTTAATAGTAGTAAAACTATACCTCAAAGCTTACACCTGTAACTGTAAGAGGATCCTTCCTCACTCACTGGAATCTCATTCCTCCAGTGTCTTGGACAAAATTTGGTGGAAATAAACTTGGTTTTTAAGATATCTATTGTACGTCTAATGCTTTTAAACAACGCTAACTATCACCTTTAGCACCTGCATTTGTTGAACACTGACCAAGCCTGATAACTCTGCATGGTACTGCATGTTCTCCATTGACACTAATCATGCTGAAGTTGAGTGGTAATGAAGCGCCTGGCTGATGAAGCATGCAAAACCTTGTAAGATGAGTTGATGTAATTTGGGACACTTTAATTTTAGCTTTCAGATTCTTCAAACTCTTATCGCATCCAATGCATAATTAGGAGCTTTCATTTATCTAGACCTGCACTAAAATATTGTATATACTTTTAACAATGTTGTATTTAATATTGTGAGATGAAGCAGCCATTTTTAATATTCTGCATCTGGTGATTTTTCTAAATACAGATTTTTCTGTGTTTATTTAAATGTTTCTTTGAGGATCAAGATTAAAGGGGAATTCCACTGATTGTGGCATAAATTAAGTTCAATTTATCATTCAGAGTGGTTTTGATGTAAAACCTCTGAGAGAAACTTGTGGAGTCATTTATTGGTGCTGATGGGACCCAGATGTCCAAGTGTCTGGTGCGTCTAGAGGTTTTAGGTATTGTGCAAATTAAAAATGTTTCTTGAAGCCTGCGCCTTTGTTTTACAGCAGTTTTAAAGAATTGGGCTAAAATGTATTTTTTGCAATCCATTCATGGTGGAAGTACATGTTGGTCTTTGTAAGGCAAAAAAGTCCCCAAAGAAATGTTTATTTTCAGATGTTTCTCTATTTTATCATTATCAGATTTACAAGTACAGCTCAGATGTGTAGGTTCACTCATTTTGTTTTGGATAGTAAATAAAATTGATATTTGCTTTGTAGACATTACAAAATTTGAATTGTCTTTTAAATTGCAATACACAATGGGAAATCTTTATTGGGCCCCTAAAATAAATACTAACACAACTGTACACTGATGGCTCACAGAAAGAGCTACAGTCTTAAAATAAAGAAAATGGTTTGCATGATCAAAGGGGTCTTTGCATCATGAAAGGGTTCTTCAGACTGATGAATGTGCTGTAGATGTAGAGGGTTCTATTGTTACCACGTCAAGCTTGTCATAATAGAAGAACTCTGTCAAAATGTTCTGTATACAGCCATCTACAGCACGTTCTTCATCAATGCCATCAAAAGAACCATTTAACCATGCAAAGAACTCTTTAATCAAGCAAAGGGTTCTTTGAGTGTTCATGGATCTATATAAAAGCATAAAGAATTCTTGAAGAACCATCAATTTTAATTTTTTTTTTTTTGCCATAATTTAACCATCAGTTAGTTTTAAACACTAAACAGACACCCCTCATTTTTTTCTTCCTCTTATTCGTAATGAAGCTCATTCATGCTAAACGTTTTCACATGGATCCTTCACAACCTGCAACAAGATTTAATCAGAATTTACTCCAAAATCTTAAAAGATCTAAATGATTCCATTCAAACAATATATCAAAATGTATGTATGTTGCACAGAAAATGGAATCTACATACCATTATTTGGCCAGTGGTGTGACAGACAGCTACATATCGCTTTTGTCGGAAGAAAACCTTATATCTCCATTTTTGTCGTTTTTCAGTTTTTGACATAATTTGAAAATACCTGTTTCCCTTTACATTGTGTGTAAATTTCATGATGATTAGACCAAAAGAAATGACCCAAAATGACTTGGAAAAAAGTCTGGTTCCACTGACTTGCATTAAAAGTAAAGTAGGTTTTTTCCTTCTCCTGTAAAGTTACCATTTTGGAGATACGAGGTTTTCTTCCCATAACAGTGATATGATGTACAGTTACTGTGATCATAAATAGGTAGTCGAATGTTAACATATAAAGTTAAATGCGAGTGTGTGGAGCGGTTCACTTGTTTGAGACATAACAAGCAAATTCTACTGTCAAATTTTGATGAATTAAATGTTTGTTGTGTGAGTAGGGAGGGCATTCATTTTATAGCACTAGGACCCATAAGATCCTAATTACCACTGATTGATGTTCAGTTATCACACTAAAAGACACCCCAGTGATTTACTACCAATCAAGTCATCATCTAGCTTCTTTTTTTAAAATGCATTGATCATTTTTATTATGACGTCAAAGTGCAGTAATGTGATCTTGGAGTTCAGCAGAGACTCCTTAAAACCCTCATCTCAGCTTCACACTTAACACATTCAATGTACAATAATCTAAATCCCATGAAATCTGGACGTATCGGAGGGCATTAGACGTCTTCAGAATGGATTCAGTGCTGCTTACAGTGCTGTTTTGAATGTCTCGAGGGAAATTACTCAAGAACAGACTTACCATAATGGTCAGCAAGTAGCATCTGCTGAAGCCTTCCATTGATTTTCTTTAACCATATTGCAGTTCTACAGTGTCCTATGCCCGTTACACTGGGTTACACTTTGTTTCCCCTTTGGTTCCACAGTTGCAGGTGGTTTCCACATGGAGGCCCTACACCACGCTTGTGAAGCTAACAACACAGTTTCTCTCGAGACTGTCACTGAGGTCAAAACAGAGCTTTGTGCTTTTAGGTCAGTGGGGCTGCTTATTTTAGTAACTGTCCTGTTTGTGTCTGTCTGTCGCCGTCGGTGGGCTTCAGATTTCAGCCACTCTTCCTCTCCTCTTCCTCCTGATATAGTCTTTACTTGTTTAAAGTATAATATCATGATTTTGGACACAGCTTCTTATCACTTTAGATTTTCTTTCTGCATTTTGGCATCAAAATAGTGGAGGTGCAGGCATTAGTTAGATCTTGAGATCAGAATGTCTCCCAAACTACAATCAGACGTCACCTATATGACCACAAGTTGTTTGGGAGGGTTGCCAGAGGAAAGCCTCTGCGGTCAAGGACCAACAGACTGAAGCACCTACAGTTTGCCAGACATTACTGGATCATTCAGTGGGATTGCATTCTGTGGTCAGATGAGACCAAAATAGAGATTTTTGGCAACGAACACCAGAGGTGAGCTTGGTGCGGACACAAAGTTAACCATGCAGAAAAGTACCTCCTCCCAGTGTAAAGTATGGTGGTGGATCTGTGCTGTTGTTGGGTGTCAGCCAGGAAGCTTAAACTGGGCCATTGTTGGACGTTGTTTCAAAGATAAACCTCAATATCAACACAAAATGCTTGACTGACCATATAATCAAGGGTTTGCCATGACCATGCCAGTCCCTGACCTAAACCCCATAGGAAATCTGGGGGATGAGCTGAAGAGGAGAGTCCACAAGCATGTACCTCAGAATCTGGAGGATCTGGAGAGATTCTGTTCGGAGGAATAGTCTCAGATTCTCCTGCGTTCTCCGGTCTCGTGTTTTTGTTCTTTTTAATCAATGTACTTCAAATAAAGGTTAGATTTTTAGAAGATTTTGAATGAAAGATCAAAAGGATTAGCAATATAATAATGTAATAATGTTTTATTTACAGCCCATTTTGCTGTTTAGCTGGGGTGCCATTATTTGTGGTGGGCACTGTATGATGTAAAGCCCAAATGGACCATTTTTACATTTTTAGCTCATGTCTCTGTTCATATTGAGCATGATTCATCATGTCGCTGCTGTTGAACATTAATGTTCAAAGTTAATGTAACAGGATGTTTTCCAAATACTTTTTTTCTGCTTTTTCTGATTTGCATTCATTATCATGAATAATACCATGTTTACCATGAAAACTGAATACTTGACTTTTACTCACAATACATCATACAGAAATAAAAGACATTATGATTCGCATTGACTTTAATAACTCGCAAAAACGTATCTTGCAGAAGAAACATGGGTTGTAACACCATCAATACAAAAGATGGACATTTTTGATGTGGTGTGGCTGTTTTTGCCATTTGGTGTTCCCGGTATGTTGCCCACCCTTTGTTTCCGTTTGTGTACAATAACAAATGAGCACCACAGTGTCTTTACCGCACCCTCTCTTTTGCTTGTGCAAGAGACCAAACAGTATCCACATGTTCACACATTTTGTTCAACAAATTCAAACAACCACATGTATTTGTGTCACAGTTTAATCAAAGTAATAAAAACTTGGCCAAAAAATCTGGGCACATCCAGAGATTCAGAGGAAACAACAGTGGAACACAGTGGCGTATGTGTGTTTATAAAAAGTGTATTTTAGTACACAGTTTAAAATACAAATTCAGTTTGGTACATCGCTGCAGACATTCAGCTGGCACACATTTGCTGTAAAACATTAGGTTTTTAGAAGGGGCAGCTTTGAAAGGGGAGTATTTCACTACATTTGCCCACCCCTCCCTCCCTCCCCATAAAGTAATAATACATTTCCCTTTTAAAAAATACAAAGTACCGTATGTACAATAGGAAACGTTTAGGGGATGCATCCACAGACATCCACAGTCTCTTTTTTTTTTTTCTTCTGTTAAACGGATCACTGCTGTAAATGAAAACACCCTCTGTGTTCATTTCTCCTTGTTTTTTAAAACAAAAAAACCTGCAGAGGAACCTACTGAACACAGTGAGTGCTGGTTGTGGGGAAATGTAGCAGCGTCCCAGCAGAAAAGCGTTACTCCACAGGAGGCAGATCAGAGGTTCAAATGTCCATCTCAAACTGGCTTTCTTCAGCTGCAAATAGAAATAAACACATTAACCTTATTAACTACTATGAACTATTCAGTAAATACTATGAATCCAGTCTGAAAATTCTGTAGTTATAAGAGTGAGGAAGATGGACGTTTAGGATTTAAAGGAGATTTTTTTGGAATTTTTGAATCATTAAATATTGCTGAAGAGTCTTAGGCCTCGAAAAGCTCCCTCAGAGAAAGTTGTTATTGTTACATTAAATGATTATGAATGTTTATTGGTGTCTGACACACTATTTTAAAACTATTATTAGGTCTAAAACCTATCTTGGTGCATGTGATGCATTTTATCCATTCCAATTTGTTTGTGAACAAAGTGTACCAGGAAAAGGCCTACAAGTCTGATGATGTTATATTTTTGGTTTAAATTTATTTTAATGCCTCTAAAAGCTCCCTAACAGAAAGTTATTACATAGAATGGTTATGAATATGCTGCTTGATGTCTAAGACACTGTTTTACAGTAGTTCTAAAATTTAGGACTGGGTAAAAATTATATTATTGCATTACAATTATATTAGTTATATTTTGGCATTATATGGGAAAATAGTCCCCAGAGAAATGTATTTTTTCAGATTTACTACTATTTTATATAGCATTACATATAGAAATTTAGAAGACACATGTAGGTTTACTAGTAGTTTTGGACAGTATATAAAATGGCTATATTTGCGTTTAAGCGATTGACCCTCGGTTCCTATCACCACCACAGTAAACAATTTTGAATCATTAATTTTCTCTACAATGAACCACCTGACATCAAACCACTCTGAATGGCTGTGTTTACACCTCAACAATTTAATTTTGCAGTAAGCTTGAAAGTTCTTATTTAAGGTCACCCAAAGATATTTGTTTTTGTGCTCTGTGAGGAAGATTTTCATACAGGTCTTGTAACTAAGAGGAGCCCCCTTTGCATCTGGGTTTGCCATTAACAGAAGCCCCTTGAGTGACTTTGTAGTCCACCAAAAATAGAAAGTTTGACCCACATACAGCTCGTCAAAGTCCAGCTGAGCTGAGAGCAGGACTTCTTTGGTGCTACTGTTGCAATAGATGACGGGATTGCACCATTTGTTGATAAGCTCACTACTGTTGGTGACGATCACTACTGTAGTAATGAAGTAACGTGGTTTTGTCTTGTGATTCTGTTTGACTGGTCAGATGACTCTGAATGCGCACTGTGGAGGCACATTCTCTGTTATTGATGTATTAAGAGTCATGCTGCAGATTGCTTACCACTGTACTATTCTCTTATATATCAAAACAGATTTACTTTACCTGCCAGATCCTTGTCCTCCTCAATCTCCTCTTTAAGCTCCTGCACTTTGGCCAGAGGATGATGAGCAGGAACAGTCACCCCTGGAATCTGGGGCAGGCAGCAGGGCGGGGTACGTGCAATTGGAGAATTCCTACAGTCCATCAAGAACTTTCTGTCATAAATGATCCGAGTGCCTGTAGAGAGAAGAGTGTGTTAAGGCAGGGTAATATGACGATATGTTACAACTGTCTGGATAAATTGTGCTACAGTGTGCTTTCCAGAGGTACCATAGGCATCGTCAGTACTTCTGGAATACTGAATTTATCGTAAAAAAGATATTTAGACCAATTACGGAAAGCCTGTACACAAAAACCAATGCATCCTATGGAGAGTGCATAAAATACATAGGAATAAGTAGGTGACCGAATGCCAGCCCAATATGTTATTATCCTATTTTATTTTTACCCAATTTACTTGTTTTTAAGTAGTTTATTTTTGCAAAGACTGAATATTAAAAAAAAAATGTCACTGCATTTTGTCAGAACTGATTCGCAAAGCTCAGAAAAACTAAATAATATGATACATATTGTCAGGAAAAAAGGCATCAGGTGTCGTGGTGGTGTATTTTGGCCACTTTGCCCATTCTTACAGCGCCTGAGGTGAGCAAGGTAAAAAAGGAAAAGCCTAGAAAACGACAAGAGTCGACACAAATTGGATTTATGTTGGAAAACACAGGTTTATGGGAGCATATGGTACATGATCTCTCTTTTTGTTTTGCCAAATTGATGTTAAGTGTTCCCAGTTCAGAACTCATACTGACATTCCAACTTCCTTCACTTATAAAACCAGCCCTTAGTAAGTTCATATGAACATGGAATTAAACATGGCTGTTCAACACGAAAGACTTCTCAATGGGAACAAAGCCTAAAAGCTTTCAAGCAACCCCCCCACTGGGCTTTTCTGTCTTGGGTTTTAAAGTGGAATTCCACTAGAATTTTCAAAATGTCTGCATAATTAAAATGTTGAAGTGTAAACGAAGTCATTCTGAATGGGTTGATGTGAAATGCTCCTTTCTAGGTAAACCTACAGAACGGTTCACAACAGCAGTGAAACATCCAAATAGTTTAACAGTCTCTAAAAACTACCTTACAGAAAGCTTTTTTTTCCATGAAACTATAGCCTGGTTCCTGAAACATTGTTTTATGATAGTTTTTTGTAAAGGTTTTGTCCTAAAATGTGTTTTTTATTCATTTCTGGCAGCGAGAAACAGTTGAAAATTAGCCAAATTGGCTAGACTGGCACATTAACAGAAATTATGATTATCTGTACTGTCCCTGTAAATCTAAATCAAATAAACTAACACAGAAAACTTTTCATTCAACACTTCAACCATTACTTTACCATTATTAACATTACATACAAAAACTCCAAAGACATATTTAGGTTCTACTCGTTTTGGATAGTGAATAATAATGGCAGTATTTGAGTCGCAGACTGCGTCACCACCACTGAAAGACAATCCAAGCAAGTTTTTCTGCAATGCATTATTTCAAAAAGTGTCAGAATTCCCCTTTAAGAAAGACACACTGTGCTGGAGGAGGGGAGCTTGTGAGGCTAGACTTGGCACCCCTGATGGAGTTCTAGGAAATCCGAGCACATGTGCAGCCTGGAAGCAGGGAGCCATTTTGAGGCAGGCTAAACCGCATGGAGAGTAGACAAGGCCGGAGCATGTTCACAACGTATAAACAAACACCACACACAGCAGGCTGTATATGTTCTAGTTAGTTCATTTTAGCCCCCTCTCAAGGGGCCCGAGCTAGAATGCAGTGGAGGGGCGTTTAACAAACAGCTTCAAAGAGCGTCAGGCAGCACCGTGGTTGGCTGAAGTTTGACCTGTTTAAGGGGTGGTGCTGCAGTTTAGAGCCATACTGTACTTATAGGCTGTATCACAGGGAGAAAAACATGTTATGCAACCTCATCTATTTTTTGTGCAATATGTCCTGGACAAAGGGGGGGGGCAGAGAGCACTCCCAACTAAGGCTCACCAGGATGAGGAATGTACAGAAGTGAATTCAACTGCTTGACCATTTGTTGTTTCAAAAGCAGCAAGTTTCAAATTTGTACAGGAGTTGAAATGTAATCACTCCAGTGTAAAAACAGGAAATGCAATGCACACATGACATTACACTTCCACAGACATGCGTACCGAAATGAAAAGCAAAACCTCTGTTGCACTGTTTTCACATCAAAAACAATACATGAGGATTTGCATTTAAGAAATGCAATGCTGAATGTTTCAGAATTGAATATAATCCACACTGAAATGTAATCAACACACTGCTACACTAGTTTGTTTGAATACCCTGTCAAAGTACATTTACATTTTCTAAATGAAAATAAGTTAAAACATCCTCTATAGTGAGTCCGCAATTTATATGTATTTAACATATTACACAGGGACTAATATGAGACTTTTGCATACGACTGTACACTATTTTCCATTATGCCAAATGATGGAAAGCAATATAGCTTTGTGTTGATTACATTTCAAGGTAATACATTTTGACAGAGCATTTCGGTTTTTCGTTGTTTTTCAGTAAAGTCATTAAGCACTGGGAAAACAGTATAACAGAGGTTTTGCTTTTCCTTTTGGCACATGCATGTCACATGGAAAAGTAATGTTATGCATGCAATACATTTGATTTTTAATTCCCCTTCATTAATATTAAAGGCTACTCTTCAAGATTGCAATGAGAATTAGAAGAAAAATCCTAACAAAAACAATAGGGTGCTGGCCCTTGGAGTGCTTGGACCCCTAAATATTACTTTCCTAGTGTAAAATCATGGTGACTTCCTCATGGCAGTTACTCAGTTTGGGGGATAATCTGGAGACACTACCTACAAACCGCTGCCTGGTCTCTGTTTCTACTTACAAACTGGCTTCAGTAAAGAAGAAACCACAGTTAAGTATCTAAGCTGAAAGAGCCCATGATTTACATTTTGACAACATCAGCTCTGATTAAGCAATTAAAAGCCACTAAGCCCTTTCACTGTTATATGTAAACTCTTCCACAGGGAGGCATCCAAGACCCACTTCCACACGTTCTTGGCTGGGACAAGGCGTTCTCAGTTATCCTAGAAATGCAACAGCTGTGGACAGAGGGAGGGTCACTTCAGAGTAAAATCCCTCCTACTTGTTCCCTGCTCTGCTTGTTTAAACACAGTCTTTTCAAGACAAAGAGAAAGAAGAAGAAGAAGAAGAAAAAAGGGTGGAAGGCTCATCAGATAAAGTCAAGGGGTCAACTGTTTGTTTTTAGCAGATTAGATAGCCTAGCTGCATTAGGCCTTAACAGCACAGGCCTGCTGTGGCTCTGTGAAATAAACAAGCAGGTTGGACAGATACCACCACTCTGTTATGTTACATAACTACCTACACTGATGAACTGCCATGTAATAAACCAAAAGAGTATGCACAACATTCAAGACCTTATCTTGCATATTATTTTTTAGTGTATCCATATTTTCTACCAGGTTCTAAGTGCAACTCACTTTTTTTCCCCACTTTAACCGAAGTTGCAGAGCTGTTGCTGCCAAGATTACGCTGGTTTTACTGATGGCCAACATTTGTTCGGTTCTAGGTACTTCAAAAAGAGTTGGGCATCTTTTTCCATTTGGAATAGGTATTCATTACAACCATAAACAAACCCAAAATTGACTGATCCGAAGTTTCATACAGAAGACTGAGAACCCCATAAGTCTCATGAAGGTAAAAGTGAGTTCAGAAAGTTCAATTGCCCACCAGTCCCATGCCTAACCCCACTCACTTTAACACCTTTTTACACTACAGAGAGGTACAGAGCCCCTAAGGTGACTCTGTGCTTATTTTTAATAAAGCATGGCTTCAAATTAATATATTGAGGCCACAAATTACTGTACTAAGGCCACAATTTACTTTATTGAGCCACAAATTACTTTACTGTGGCCATAAATTACTGTAATGAGGCCACAATTTACTTCATTGTGACCACGAATTACGAATTACTACTGTGGCCAGACATTCATATATTGAGGCCACACATTAATATATTGAAGCCATGAGAAACTTAACTTGTGGCCTCAATATGTAATGTAAACCTGCACATTTGTTCTGAAGGTAAGAGAGCTTTACCTTCACGAACTACTTGGACAACTGATAAAAGGGGAACATCATCCATGTGCACACCAGGTTAAAAAGCTTCACTCACTCTTTTTCCTAACTTTTTCCCTTCTTAAAAAAGTAACTCACCTCCTGGTGTGGTGGAGAACAGAGTACCCCCGGGTGTCTGGCTGTAGCAGTCTGGAAGTTGAGACCAGTCCTTGAGCTGCATAACACGAGTTGGGATGGGGCAGCTCTTGCTCTTCTCTGTTTTGGTGGACATTGTAGACTTTTTTTAAGTAAAACTCAACAGGAAGTGGCTTTAAAGCTTTAAAAACGCCTCGTGTTTATTTCTTTTGTTCGTTCTTTCGTCTTTTTTAACTGTAACAAGCCAGAGTTTCTTAAACGTGCATTGCTGCACACAAAAGTTAGCAACGAGTCACTCGAGCAGGATATTTTAAACTGCTATTTGTTTCACACTCGTTTTCGTACAAGACCCGCCCCCTACGGGGCTGCGATTGGCTAGAAGTGTACGCTTCTTGCGCTGTGATTGGCTAGTCTTGTCCTTATTCACAGGACTACTTCTACATATGAACCATTAGCCAATTCTAGCTCACGACGCGGACATAACTTACCAATCACAGCGCAGGGAGGTGGGACTTGTCGGAAAACAGGCGGGTTAAAGTAATGCGAGGAGCACAGGAGCTACGTGACTCGTATCATGTGACTGACGGGCTGCGAAAACAGTGCAGGGTTGCCAGATACGCAGTAAATCAAATCCGCATGCAGTGCACGTGTGTCCGTAAAGTAAGCGCTATATAAAGACAATAAAGCCCAGTTGCATATTCCGGGCTTGGTGGAGCACATGATAACGAAGGTTATCCCAACCTTGTGGCTAAAGGGCTAAAATCTGCCATTCAGCCACTAAGGCAATATGGCAATATATGTATTTATAAGATAGGATATATATTAGCACATATTGATTTTCTTTATATGCTACTTACATTTGTCACATACGGACATTTATGTGACATATACACCAACTTATTTGAATCAGGCCACACTCACATCTGGGACATATAGTTAAGTGATATATCAGCAAATGCATACATACATGTGTAACATGTATTTCATTTATGTATTTCATTTTGATTGTTTGCTTTGATAGCAAAATACCTTTGATGGTTGCATCAGACATGTATGTATGCTCCATATAAGATGCAAATTTGGACAAAGTATGTACATATATTTTGAAATATATGCCTGACGATTTGTGAAATATGTGCATATATGGCCATATATCACATTTCTGTCTGGCAACTAGGAACGTGCATGCAATTTGGGGCAAATGGCATTTGATTTTCTGTCAAAGATGTTGCAGAGAGTACATTCAGCATCTGTCAGCATGGAAAGCGAAGCATATTAGGCTCCCTTCTTCTCTTTAAAGCCATAAGTATATGCAATAACAAAGTCATCCAGTTACTGTCACCAAAAGAACAACATGCATTTAAACCCGAAAAAGGAATTATAACCTAACGTAAAGTTGGTTCCATTTCTGACGCATATCTGAGTGTAAGTCTCTAATTGAAATCACCTATAGAATTCTAATTTGCATGGGACTGAATAAATAGTTACCACTGATTTGAAGGAGTGAGTTTCAAACAGCTTACAAATAAGTCAAATAAGCAGCTCTGATACTTTAAGGCCACCCTTGGAATAGAAGAATGTAGCCAGGAATTAAGCTGTCCTAATTAGTTTCCCTAGTCCCCCATTTATCCCCCTAAAATGTAGTTATACATCAAATAAATAGAAGTATTATTATTCAAATATAGAAAAAAGTACACAGTTGTACTTAATACATGTAAGTGGTACTACCCACCACTGTTGACCAGTTGCCACATATATCACATTTGTATTTTTCTTCTGCTTATGTGTATGTATCTTTATTTGAAAGTACCCAGAAACTTTCCCATGGCCATATATGCACATTTATCATAAAGGGTCAGGCAAATACTTCATAATATACGCACATACATGTTGGGTACATATATGTAAGTATCAAATACTGGACATGCCAGGCATGCACAATATATGAATCATACAAATTTAAATAAGTAGGGTGTAAATGTTACATATATGTCCATATGTGACAACTATAAGCCAGATATAAGGGGAAATTTGAGATGTGAATATCTGAGTAACTACATGTCGGGGAGCTAATTTGAGATGTGAATATCTGAGTAACTACATGTCGTAGGCAAACGAAATTAAATAGGCTTCATGTTGAACAATACAAGATTTATTTATCAAAATTCAAACAAGAAATTCAGAGGGATGTAGATTTTATAACCGATTTCACAAAGCTTCACTAATGTAATATCTTCCGATACTGGTGGTCGTCCAGATCCCTTTGCCCTGCGCAGACAGCCTTCCTCTTTGAATTTTTTGTGTCATGTCCAAATCTGCTTTCCAGTTGGTGCATTTTTATTGAATTTTCTCAAAAATGCACACTGCACACTCTTGTTTGACTGTGTTCGAGCATACTCTACATTTTGTTAAAATTTGAGATCATTTGAGGGAGAATTGACTGTTAGACTACGAAATGATGTCAATTTTTTTGGGACACCCTGTATAAATATATATATATATATATATATATATATATATATATATACCCTGTATATACCATGTATATATACTGACTGGGGCAGTGAGAGTAACTACTCATTCATTCACACTGTTGAAGTACAGGTCTGATTGATTTGTATATGTATATATATATATATATATATATATATATATATATATATATATATGTATGTATGTGTGTGTGTGTGTGTATACAGAGAGAGAGAGAGAGCGAGAGAAACACACACAAATCAATCAGACCTGTACTTCAACAGTGTGAATGAATGAGTAGTTACTCTCACTGCCCCAGTCAGTCAGCAGGGGGCTGTACTTCACATTCAAACCAACACAAAGAAATCAAACAGGCTTCATCGCGCTCTGCTCATTTTCGCAGTTTGATGGTCGCGAACACCGAGTTGTCTGATTTCAGTTAGTAATCTGAAGCTAATTATTATCCTTTTGGATATCTTTTTGTGTAGCAAAAAACACGACGATCTTAAAAAAGTCGCTCATTTCTCTGTTTTTTGTGGAGTTTCGCCGGCAGAAGGAAGCGAACGGTAGGTTTTTCTATTCGCTAGCTTCTTGTTCGAATTTTCCCGTTCTACCTTAAATGGTGCAGCAGTTGCTACAACGCCCGAGCCGCCAGAATGAAACTGCTGCGCCATTTAAGGTGGAACGGAAAAAACGGGAAAGCCTCGTTAGCTAACCGAGTTAGCTTAGTAATATAGCTTTAGCTTACCGGCGCTGACTTTAACCTCCCTCACTTCATTTTCTGATCTGGGCACTGTAAAACACACATAGGCTTCTGCCGTGTAAGTTAATAAACCTGTTTAAGACTTTTCCAGAAACACTTTCCCGCCTTAGGAAGGATAAAAATGGGTATTCAACGATGCTAAACGTGCTAATGCTACTAACTTAGCTAACATAGCTCCTTTAATATCAGTGGTCCATGGCAGATTTCTCAACCCAGGAGGATTTTTCCCGTTAAAATGTTTACGACAAAATATTGTGTGGATAGATAGTTTAGTAATCTGACTTTCTGTAATGGGTGCTGTTCTTTTTACGTCTTGCTTGTTTTCCTTTCGTTTTAATCATGTCGTAACGCTAAGCTAAGCTAAGCTAACCGTGTCTGAGGTTTATCCATAAATAGTTTAAAATTGTTTTCTGAGATGCTTTTAATGACCCGTCCGCTTAATTTGGCGAAGACTTGGCTTGAGGTTTCGGGCCGAAAGCTGAATTTTTCCAGGTTTGTGGTCTAAGTAACTGACCAGCTCAGAAACAAGAAGCACATGGCCGAGAAGGAGCTGGTGGTTCAGTGAGCTTCACAATTCAGCATTAAAGATTTTTATTTACATTCACGACAGAATTGGAGTACCTACTTATTCAGCTCATTCATCAGAAAATGAGTAATACATACAGATGATAAACAAGGTGAATTACAAATGTTATAATCCAGCCAAAGCGAGGTAATACAATATAATAATGCAATATGATAATCTAATAACAGTACATGTATGTAACTTTCGAGTAATGGACATGTATGGATCATACATGTAATGTATGTCTGATATGTATAATGCATATTTCCAGTGCATGGATTATACATTTGTGTGATACAAACATTGAAAAAAATCAAAATGAAATATACCAGCAGCATACATAGCATACAAATGCAAATATAAGTAATATATGCCATCCATATATAAATAATGTTTTCTGTCATATTGTTAAATATTTGTTATGCCTGATCGGTGTACATACGTATATTGTCAGCGTAACATTTCAAATATAGGACATGCATTAGCATATATGGACGTCCCTTATATCTTAATTATAGTTGTCACATACTGACAGCCAGCTTATTTGAATTTGGCCATTTTCAAATATAAGATATATATTTCAGCCATATATCAATATACACACCAATCAGGCATAACATTATGACCACCTCCTTGTTTCTACGCTCACTGTCAACTCCAGCAGCACTGCTGTGTCTGATCCACTCAGACAAGCGCAACACACACTAACACACCACCATCACATCAGTGTTACTGCAGTGCTGAGAATGATCCACCACCCAAATAGTACCTGCTCTGTGAGGGTCCATGGGGGTCCTGACCACTGAAGAACAGGGTAAAAGGGGGCTAACAAAGTATGCAGAGAAACAGATGGACTACAGTCTGTAACTGTAGAACTACAAAGTGCACCTATATAGTAAGTGGAGCTGATAAAATGGACAATGAGCTTAAAAACAAGGAGGTGGTCATAATGTTATGCCTGATTGGTGTATAGATTGATATATAGCTGAAATATACATCTTATATTTGAAAATGGCCAAATTCAAATAAGCTGGCTGTCAGTATGTGACAACTATAATTAAGATATAAGGGATGTCCATATATGCTAATGCATGTCCTATATTTGAAATCCTTATATTGCCATTTATCTGATTTCTGTGTCAAATGACTAAATAATACTTAGCACTGCAATGAAAACCAGAATTACAGATAGTGGTTTGCAGTATTTCAGGTAATAATCATTCACCACCTTTGCCTGTTTTTGTTTGCTTGAAATGATTTAAAATGTCATCTTTTTCCCTAAAGTGGTTCTATCTACTTATTTTTTTTCTTTAGAAAAACTACGTTGAGCATGGCAGATGGCGAGGGCTTTGTGGTGCGAGTAAGGGGTTTGCCTTGGTCCTGCTCCACAGATGAGGTGCAGAGGTTCTTCTCAGGTCAGTTGATGTCGAAACACCTTGTGTTGATGCTTACCATTTACTCTGAATGCAGATTAAAGAGACTCCTTGTCTTTATAGAATGCAAAATCGCAAACAACGGCACAAGCATACATTTCACATACACAAGGGAAGGACGGCCCAGCGGAGAGGCGTTTGTTGAGTTTGATAATGAGGACGATCTGAAAATTGCTCTCAAGAAGGATCGGGAGACGATGGGACACCGCTACGTGGAAGGTGGGTGGTGGGACTGAGTTTTGGGGAGAGGGAATGAAAGCGCTTGACCCGGCTGTGGCCAGAAACTGACTGATGCATCTCTGGTTTCAGTTTTCAAATCCAATAATGTGGAGATGGACTGGGTTTTGAAGCATACTGGCCCTAATTGCCCAGACACAGCAGGGGATGGCCTCGTTAGGCTTCGCGGTCTGCCCTTTGGCTGCAGCAAAGAGGAGATTGTCCAGTTTTTTGCAGGTATGTCCACTGTATCCTAGTACTTGCAGTTTTATCCCACTATTCATAAATGAAAAACTCACACAATCACTCAGAATTTTAGTTTATCTGCATAAACTTATTAAGCTGAAATGCTCAGCTCCACTGTTTCTGGACACTGAAGCAGTGTCATAGTGTCTTTAGGTTAGTTTTAAATGTAATAAATGAAATTAAAAGGCCTAAACACACCACAGTGGGTCACTGTTCTGTTCCTTTTTGAAAATATATCAATTTCTTACTTTTTATATCTTGTATATTTTAATATCTTATTTTCTTTATTCGTGAAGCCCCCTATTGTAAACTCAACGTCTGGCAAATTGCCTGTAAGGTCTCTGTTAAGACTTTTGCTTGATGTTGAGACAGGAGCAAATAGAAATCTTAGGTTACTGACTACTCTCTTATCAGTGACCCTTTTTCATTCTGTTACAATGAGTTACCATGCATAGTATATTGCTTCCCATCTGGTATGTACATGTAACATCATTTCTCATTTGAAAAATCCCTTAGCAAACTATAAATTCTTGTTAATGGGCTTGTGATTTAATATGTCCCCCACTGGGGTTATCTGTCCTTGGGTTGAAGGGTTGGAAATCGTGCCAAATGGGATAACATTGCCGGTGGACTTCCAGGGGAGGAGTACGGGGGAGGCCTTCGTGCAGTTTGCTTCACAGGATATAGCTGAAAAGGCTCTAAAGAAACACAAGGAAAGAATAGGGCACAGGTGGGGATGGTTGGTTGGTTGGCTGGATAAGTTGCTTTTCTTATGGTGTACACCTCTCAACAAATATGCACTGCAGAAATGGCAAGACATTCTCTCAAACTATTAGCAGTAATAATCACACATAGCTTTCAGAAGATGAGGCCCAGTTCCCACAAAGCCATTATGTGGCCATGCTATTCTCCATTATTAGTGCTGAGTGAGCCATTGAGACTTACTGGAAATTGTATTAGTGAAAGGTAACCAATCATGGACTACTTGGCTGAAGAGATTAGCTTTTAGACAAGATATCCTTGCGTTGCCGTCAAACGGTGAAGTTGTTTGGGGGTTATTGAAATGTCTACTATAGCTGAATATGAATGTGTTTGGAGGAAATCATTTCAAAACCCAACTTCAGCCTGCAGCCATGCGTATATTCAGTTGACACAATAAATATTCAATAAAATCTCAAAGGCTAGAACGAGGAATATGGCCACTCAGCACTAAATTTGATGTGGTAGGGATCTCTCTGGCCTATTTCTTTACCACACTGACGACTTCAGATCATGAGGACCCGTTAACACAGGTAAAACTGAGTCAGACATGATGGACTGAAGTCTCTTCCTGCCATGCTCTCTGTACTCTATGACAGGGTGACAAGAATGTATCTCACGGTTACGGTAATGCAGCTGATTGCATGAGTGGCCATAAGAAAAGTTGAATGAGGGTTGAATGAGACTCTTAAATGTAAGGTTCCATTTTTGTTTTTTTTGTCTTCATTATCACAAAAAAAGTCAGTGAACGGAGTCATTGCCAGTTATTCAGTGCTCAAGTTGTTAGGGTGTATTATTTTGTTCAGAGGACCATATTAGCGGTCCGTTTTCTGTGCACGCAGCAATGCTCTGTTGCCTCCAGTCTGTAGACCCTGGTTCCATCACTGTGCCTTGGTCCTCATAGGTATATAGAGATTTTCAAGAGCAGCCGCGCTGAGGTGCGCACCCACTACGAACCCCAGCGTAAGGTGATGGGCATGCAGAGACCGGGCCCCTACGACCGGCCGGGCGGTGGCCGTGGGTATAACAGCATGGGCCGTGGGGTCTCGTTTGAACGCGTGCGACGCGGTGGATATGGAGGGGGTATGTAAATTCCTGTTGTGTTTAAAAAGATTGCTTTTAGTACTGAATGCAACAACAAGCATTCTGTTTACAAAATCGAGAGAAGTGCATGTGTGAGGTTTGAGGTTTTATAAATAGCTCAAATCCATTGTCTGGTTGTTCTTCTGCATGATGACTGTTTGCCTATTTTAGTAACCTCTTCCTCACTGTTACTGTTCTTACTCTTATCTGTGTTGCAGATGGTCGTTACGGGGATGGAGGTTCCTCTTTTCAGAGCACAACAGGGCATTGCGTGCACATGAGAGGTCTTCCCTACAGAGCCACAGAGACAGACATATACAACGTGAGTTTTTACATACACACACATCAGCAGTGAGAGGCATTTTTTGTGTGTGTGAAGGAGTAATTTGAAAAGTGCTGAATTTGATAATGAATTAAAACTAATGGCCACTATTTAGTGTTATGTAAATGCATCCGAATTCAGGGCCCAAAAGGAAAGTGGGGGGTGCTGAGGTTACTGCAGGACTGTTAAAGTGCAACTGCTACTAATAAAAATGATAATAATAAATAAAATTACTACTAATAATAAAATCACTTCCCTCACCAACTATGCAAGTGATGTGCATGCAGAGCTGTAGTGTAGTTCCTCAAAACAGCCTAATATAGATTTTATTTTGCTTAAAATTCTAACAATGTCCCACAATTTGAATTTGAAATATTAGGGTTTTATTTGTTGTTATTGTTATTGTTATTGTTGTTATTATTATTATTATTATTATTATTATTATTATTAATAATAATAATAATAATAATAATTTGTTTTTTTTATTCAAATCTTTATCTTCTGCTCAATGTGCATTTAAGTATTGAGTCGTGTAATTTGACGGTGGGTGTGATCTGTTACCACACCACGTTTCAGCATTGACATTGGTTGCTGCTCGGGTCGTTTGCATACTGTTTGTCTAGAAGGAGCACAAGCAAAGCGATCAGTTAGACGTGTTAATCAGATATGTATATTGTTGCCTCCCATCACAATACAGCATAGATGTTCTGTTAATGTAAATTATCTGATAGAATTTAGGCTAAAATACCTTCGCACCTCCGTCAGACGTCACCTTTTAAACAGACAGACACCTTGGATAAAACGCCATGGAAATATAACTAAGTGAGAATAAAATTCATTCAACTCTCTTTCTCCATACAAGACCCTTTAATGGGTGCTCAGCACAGCTAAGGCTAGAGGAGTATTGTTCATTTGCATGCACGTCGCTCCATCGATAGCAGTGGGGAGGGAAAAGAGTGCTTTGAAAAATTTGAAAACGTGTAATCTGAACCTGTTGATGATCTTAAATGCGCTGACTTTGTCCAATTGTGCAGTTCTTCTCTCCCCTGAACCCGGTGCGAGTGCACATGGAGATCGGCCCTGACGGCAGAGTGACGGGCGAGGCTGATGTGGAGTTTGCTACGCATGAAGATGCTGTGGCTGCCATGTCAAAAGACAAAGCTAACATGCGTAAGTACACAGCTCCTCTAGAGGATTAAGATATAAGAGAAAGCCTATTTGAACAGTCTTTACACAAGGCTAGAGTTTTCAGTATTTTAGGTACACCTACGATGTACCCATGCTGATTTTTATCAGGAACCTCTACCAAATAGGTCAGAGATCTGATCCTGGAGGGACAGAGTCAACCACAGTCTGGTGTGAGACCATGCTTTTGTTTAACTCACCTGCGAATTGCCAGGTTTAGTGGGTGTGTTTGAGCAGAGAATCGCCAAACTGTGCTGGATTCTGAACCCTCTAGGACTGGAATTGTATGCCTCTGTTATAGGTACACTTTAAAGGCATATGATTACTGATCATAGCCCATCTGTTGCTGTGCTGTTTGCCCGCTGCTTTCAAGGGGTGGGCAGAAAGATAATATTCATTGTCATCTCAATACATTATGTCTAACTAAACTTTTCTAAGCGTATCGTGGATATCAATACTCAAAGAAAGCTGTCCAATCACACATTAGTTATTCCTGTTTAATTGAATTCACTATGTGAAATCTTGAATAAAGTTTGTGTTTGTAGTTTTTGATAGTATGTTTTAAATAAATACTGATGCTTTTTTGTCTGTTTAAACTGATCAGACTTGAAAAATGAGTATCAGTTGCAGCAGCGTTGCTGGGATTTTTAAGAAGCAGTATGTAGGATTTAGTGGCATCTAACAATGATGTTGCAGATTGTAACTGTATACCCCTCCCTTTCCAAGTGTAGGTTCTACGGTAGCTGTCAGGTTTTCTGATGTTGCTTGTCCTGATTTCTTTTTGCTTTTTCATGTTTTTGATTTACCGTTCCTTGCTTTTTCTTGTGCTAAATAATGATGATCCAACCAAGAATATTCAGTCAAGAGGGGTTTTGTGGTCAGCTTATGAAGGGATTTCATAAGGTCTTCAAGTCTGTACCTTCAGTTTCCTGGCCTTTTTTTTTTCTATTCAGTGGTATTTAAATGACATGTTGGTGTAACTAATTGGCCACCTAGTGTCTTTCATTCAATTGTGAATAATAATAATAAAAAAAAGGAAGCTCTAATTAAAGACTGGAGTGACACCTCAGTTTTTGTCTTGCAGAGCACCGTTATGTTGAACTGTTCCTAAACTCAACAGCAGGGGGTGGAAGCGGTGGATACGGAGGTCAGATGATGGGGGCAATGGGTTAGTCTCATGGTTTTTGTGTAATTTTGACAAAATTAATGTTTTTTTTGAGTAACGTGTTGCCGTAACTTGCTGTCTCGGCATTGTACCTTCAGGGAACCAGTCATCCTATGGGCACAGCAGTCAGCAAATGAGCTCAGGATACAGCGGCGGCTACAGCAACCAGAGCAGCATGGGAGGATACAGTGATTACAGTGAGTGTCAGCTCTGCTTTACATGAATATAACAGGGGAACGATTTTGTTTTATAGCTGTATGTATGTGTATAGAGGGAACCCAGCTGATATCAAGGTCTCACTCTCATCAGATTAAAAGACTAAACTGCACTTTCACCTTTAGTGGCGAGCTCTTCAGTGTTATATGCATAGCATTGGTGTAAGCAAAAATTTAGATTTATAAACTTGTATTTACTTATATGGCTCTACAGTGCAAACAACATTCTCACATTTGCTCCTAAATGCAGTGTTTTTTTTATTTCAACGGTGCATGCAGCTGGCTGTGAATGCTAAAATATTTACAGGGCATGATAAAAAAATTAGCTTACTGGCTCACTGTGCACAGCACAGGACAAACTAACCTGCAAATATGTTCAAGTCTCACAGTTTTTAGAACCGTTGTTTATCCGTAAGACTCGCATCTTTTGCCTTTGCTAAGGTCTCATGGCAGTGAATGTAAATCAGATGGGATAAAAAGTTGGCTTTACTGCGCACTGAGCACCATTATAAGTCAATACAGCACCGTCACATTCAAGTTAGGAGTCTTGAATTCACTCGCTGCCATTTAAAATGACGACCAGAATGGATACTAAGCAAAACGGCCAGCAGCTAAACGGCCCTCTTATACAACAGAAAAATCTCCTGAATGCAGTGTTTTATTTGAGCGCATTGAGAGGTTGAAGCTAGAGGAAAACTGCAATTTCAAACTCAGCACAGTATGCTGACCTCACATTTAACAAACTAGTTACTGACACAGTACCTCCAGTGGGTAAAAGCTAAGTACAGTCCAGAATTTTACAGCACTTGGTGTAAATGTCCAGGCCAAATAGTTGAAGATTTTCTCATTATTTTTTCCACTGTATTCAGTTTTTTCTTTATCACAGTCAGCTCTAACTAGGTACATCTACAGAAACACAGGTCAGCTAAGTTCGCACATTCCGTCTGCAGAAACAGCGGAAAAGGGTAATGCCTACAGTTACATGTTGGCACTGAAAAAAGCATCGTTCTGTGCCTCAGTGCAGGATATAACACAGTGATCTTACATGACCGATGGCGTGTGCAGTCATGTAAATGTTGCCGTGGTGATTATCTAAGAGAACTGTGGTGATCTTTGGGAGGAGCAGCAAATATACACAACAAAGCAATAACTTTGTGTCTTTAGGTTCATGTACTGTGAGAGCTTAGGGGTGGGGTTTCAGGAGGTTCTGCACTTTCTGCTTATAAGTCATTATCCGGAGAATAGAAGCAGAATCATAACATGGGTTATTTACAAACGTAAAGAACCGTCTAAAGAACTACACCACTAATTTATGGATCAGATTGCCCTCCCACATCTAAGACTGTATCCTTAAGTGTTTTGGAAGAATTCTGTGATTGTGAATTTTTTTTTCTTTGAAAACTATTATGAATAACTGAGAACGTTATAGATTTTATATATTTTATTACTTTTTTCATCATCTGATTTGTCCTATCTGTGTGTGTGCTGTTGAACTCACTGGTCCTAAAGTGCGTATTTCTCCCTCCTGTCAGGTAATCAGGGCGGAATGGGCAGCAGTTACTATGGAGGAGGCAGCCGTGGCTCGATGGGAATGAACGGACTGAACAGCAGCATGGGCGGTGGCTGGGGCATGTAGCTTTCGCCACATGGCAGATTTCAGCCTGCGTGGTGAATGACCAGTGACCAGCATTAAGCATACTCCTGTTTTTGTTGTTTCCAGTTTTCCTTTGCTCTGGGGCTGGTTTAGTGAAACTTTTATTAATGTTCTCCTATTTTTACTTTATCTGAATGATATTACAAAGAGAGAACCATGACAAATTGGACTTACCTGAACATTTTCTCCCTCTTTTGGTCATAATATTGAAAGTTCTGCACATTGCGTGTGTTAAGAAAGTGGAGAGGTCCCTGTAACCCAGTTTAGATGTTTTTATATGCACAAATGTGACCGTCTCCTCGTCTTTTGGAAAAAGTTTTGTTTTACAGTGAGAAGCTGAAGCTCTGTACTGTTGTGAAGCATGTTTGCAGGAACGCAGAGGGAGGTACAGCTCTGGCTTTAGATGCATGTGGTAATTGTGTTTGATAGCTTGCTTTTCTCCCTCTGTTATCAATTTTTTTTTGTTTTGTTTTGTTTTTTGTTTGTTTTGGTAGTGTGGTGCACAGAATGGATTATTGTCTGAGTTTTCGTTTTGCACACATGGACTGATTTTGCTGGGGCAGTGTTTATTCAAATCTACAATTATATTAAAAAAATTCCAGACGTTTTAAACATGATTGCAACTTTCTAAACAGTGTAGAAAACTGTTGCATGGGCTACAACAGGAAATGATCATTCATTCTAAAATAGGCTTTTGTACTTACAGAGGTTTTGTTTAAAAAATGTTTTTATTTTTTTTTGTTGTTGTTGTTGATAGCAGTAAACATGTGCAAGTGTGAACATGTTAGAACAGCCTGGAACCAGTTACAGTCATCTCCATATCAACCTTTCCTTCTATTATACAAATCAACATGTCCTTGGGACACAAAACAGAGACAAATTAAAGAATGAAAGCCTTTGTTTAAACTTTGCATCATTTGTTTTATGGTTGGTCCCATGTTCTGAAATGTAACTAAATTAAGCATACTGGCATGCACAAAGTAAGCTCATGGTAAAAACATGTACAATGAAGTCTTTATAACCATTCAGCCTGCGTGTATTAAGATTAGTATTAATGTCTGCCTGTACAATCATCAGTCTAATCAAAGCTGCCTTCTGTAAGATTCTTACTCTAATTTGTTGCTATTACAGCAGCTTCTCAGATTCAAACAACTCTTAAAAACGGCTAGAACAACGTTTAAAACGAGAGGTTTTAACAGGCGAGGTTTTAAAACGAGCTTCCAACAGGCGTGTTTTAATAGTGTTGCATGTCGTAGGCAGTGTTTCAAATCTTACAGAACGCAGCTTTAAAAATAAGAAAAGCACTTTTTATTATTCTTATTCACAATTAGAAAAGAGGAAACATGATTGAAAACACTGACATTCTTAAACAGTTCTCACCCTGGCAGGCTACAATGAAGTGTTCAAACATTTTAGTTAGTACTCTCCCTAAAATGGAGATTAACAAGGGGGGGGCGGGTACAACAAATCATAGCAGACATTGTGCAATAGAATATTCTTAAAAATGATCACATTCTCCATGTAGAAGAAATTACTTTGCATATAATTCTGCAATTACTGTAGCGCCTGCTGGCTAAAAAAGTCTCAGACAAACGGAAGCCGATAGCCCCATAAAATGCTAATGCATATATTAATCGTGTTAGTCTCAAAATACCACAAATCACCAATAAGCGGTTAGGTCAATTAGCTTGTGCTGCACATGATCATTTCGTTTTCGGGAGGCCGTGCGATGTCAAGAGCTGGTGGAGCTCCTCTGAAGAAGAAGGGAGTGACAGATGTCGCAGACGCGGACTGGTTTGGGGTACGACGGCAGAGCCAGTTCGTTGCTGGAACAGCTGTTGCAGTAAATGTCCCCACAGTTTCTACAATGGTGCTACAAGAGAGGATGCAACAGTGGAGTTAAGCTCTTTCGGAGTTGTAATTGGTTGTTACTGTTGAGTTCCACTATTTTGACTTTACTATCTTTTATTGACAAAGGGTTGATCTAGCTGAAGGCTTTTATTCCAATCTTGCACAAGCCTGAATCAGTTGGGCTCAGTCTTTAAAACAGCTAATTAACCACATGAAGTATGCTTTAAAGTAATTATTAATGATTATGAACAAGGTCTGTCATTTTACTTGACAGTATGAATCTGCATTATGCATAGTTTTTACAGTGTGATAGTCGCAACTGGGGTTATTTTTATCCAGAATAAATCTAAAGCGTGTGTAGTTTTTACAGTCTGAATGTCTTAACTGTGGAGTGATTTTAATCCAGTATGAATCTGCAATGTGTATATTTTACACTCTGATGGCAACAGTGACCTTAATCCAGTGTGAATCTGCAGTGTGTGTGGTTTTTAGTCTGACAGTAATAATCATGGAGTGATTTTAATCCAGTGTGAATCTGCAGTGTGTGTAGTTTTTACAGTCTGACAGTAATAATCATGGAGTGATTTTAATCCAGTGTGAATCTGCAGTGTGTGGTTTTACAGTCTGACAGTAATAATCATGGAGTGATTTTAATCCAGTATGAATCTGCAGTGTGTGTAGTTTTTACAGTCTGACAGTAATAATCATGGAGTGATTTTAATCCAGTGTGAATCTGCAGTGTGTGGTTTTACAGTCTGACAGTAATAATCATGGAGTGATTTTAATCCAGTGTGAATCTGCAGTGTGTGTAGTTTTTACAGTCTGACAGTAATAACTATGGAGTGGATGATATTTAATTGGCTAAACCTGGAGCTCCCTGATCCAATCCACCCCTCTCTTATGGAGTAATAAAATCTACCGATACCAATAATGTCATTGTGTGGCGTAGAGCTGACATGAGCATCCAAGCCAGCTATCTGCCGATCAAATTCTATACATTACGTTACACAACCTACTCTGGTAAAACTAATTCAGCTTCAATAGTGGATTACACACACAAGTTTGAATGCAGACCCGGACGTAACCATACAGGGCTAAATAATAGTGTTGCTTACTTTTCTGCGAGATATGGAGAATTCCTTCTGGCACTGTTTACACTGTGTGGCTTCATCATCTTTCAGCCAGGCGTGACCCTGAAGAGGTGGAAAAGATTGTGAGGAAAACAAAAGGAAGAAATATTTCAGGTTTTGTGACCACCAAAGGGGGGGTTGAAAACAACATATAAGTGTTAAGGTGTGACAGAATGTATAGCCACAACTGCAAAAATCCAACCTCATCTAAGCTCTGACATCAAGACAGTATTCTCTGCGCAGCAAACTGGACTGCTTGCCAAAATATTAATAACTGGTATGCACCAGTATACTGGTATACCAGTTGAGCTCAATGCAGAAATCAGCAATACAGAGTGTGGATCAAAAAATACCAGTGGCATTCTTTAAAAAGAGACTGCTGAATCATATTGACTTTACTGGTCTGTGAAGTAGGACAGATAAAGCTCAAATGTGGTTGAATTCAATGCATCTTAATTTGTGCATAATTATGAAATTATAACCACAATGAAACACAAAAAGCAAACCAACAGTTTTGTAACTGATTATAATTGAAGTAGTTACATTGTTTTGATCTTAGGACAGTAAAACATTATTCCTCTACATACTCACGCTACATTTGGCCTCACCTTCAAAGCTTTGTTGACTTCTTTAAAGTCCTCCATTTTCAGCTTGGATCTGGAGGCAACAGCACAGCATAAGTGACACAGCAAAAATATCTGAATGTGAACAGTAATTTAAAGTCAGCTGTGCATATTAGAGTATAGCAGTCTGCCTTACTGGCTGAGGTGAAGGCCCATCTCCTGCAGGGCCTGCTCCTGCTCCTCACACAGCTGCTGCAGCTGCTTCTTCTCCTGCCGCAGATCCAGCAGCTCCTGTTGGAACCAAATCGCATTTTCAGAGGAAGCTTCCAAACCAGTTGTACCAAATCAAATCCAGAACTGGGGTGAGTTTGTACTAATCGAGTAATAAAGGGTATAAAATGATCAGGTTACATTACCGCCACATTATCAGAGACTAGTGATGAACCTTTCCATAATGTATCAACAATTACTGGACCTACTGTTTTGCGCATTTCTGAATGACACAATATGTCCAAAAGTTTGTGGACACCAGCTCATCCAAAATTTTATCAGCTATCGGGGGTATTAAAAGGGAGTTTGCTCCCATTTTAGCTTAAGTACTAGCCTTTACTCTGCTTGGGACGCTGGAGTTTAAAACATTGCTGTGAGGATTTAATTGTATTCAGCCACAAGAGTTAGTGAGGTCAGCTAATGATGTTGGATGATTAGTTCTGGATCACTCCAACCCATCCCAAAGGTATTGGACTTTTCACTGGGCATGGTGACCTTAGGCTCACGTTCAGCTGCTCCAGAGTGTCCCATTCTATTGTCAATGCTTTTCTATGGAGATCGTACAAGCTGTGTGCACAATTCAACACCTTTGTCAGCAATGGGTGCACATTAAAATAGCTAAATTTAATAACTGGGGGGTGGGGATGGGGGGTACCGCAATACTTTTGGACTAACAGTGTTTTTGTGTCCAAAGACTTTTCATAGGGAAGTGTATATTAATGAAACATTAAGATAGGGTTACTGCTACTGCATGGTGTCATGAAAGCGATGATGTGTGATTGAGTCTGACCGTCTGCAGGCCCTGCAGCTGCTGCATCTGCGTGCGCAGTTCAGCGGTGTTGTCCTGCTCACGCTGCAGCTCTCTCTGCAGGCTCTGCCTCTGCTCCTTCTCTTTACTCAGCTCTGCCTCCAGTCCTGACCTGAGGAACACACAAGCATATCATGGTTCCACAGCATGACCACAGTGCAGGCAAGCCAAAGGGTCAGAACAAGGAAAGAGCAAAGCTAGCCTGTTAAAGGAACAATACAAAACTGCTAACATTACTATGAATGGAAACTAGTAGTCGCCACTTATCAACATGCCAGATACATGCAATATAAGTGTTTTTCCTGTAACAATACATGAAAGTAGGGGTGCTTACAAAACCAAAAATACAAAAGGTAGCTTTTAAGGACTTTTTGTCCTTATTTATGTTAATGTGTATATGTGTGCATGTTTTGTATTACATCACACTAATACCAAACAAAATTATATACAGTATTAAAACACGTTTCTTTGGATGAGG